TCCCAGGGATAGTGAATCAGAAGCCTAGATTACTTTTGGGTTGTTGGTTTGAGGTGTTGTCTTATTCTACTACATTTTATTTATTTTGCATTTATTAATCAGTTACTGTATGTTAGGGATCATTGTTAGCATCTACAGTACAAGCTCAGGGATTCCTTATGTAAATCAGTTAGGGCCAGGTGCCTTTGTGGGTTTTATCTTATTTATTATTTACTTTAAAATGTAACACATAAATAATCATACATATTAATGGGGCTAAGTGTGATTCTTACAAGCACACACTGATCAATTCCAGTTCCCCCTCTCTACCCTCCCCTCTCACCAAACTTCTAGCAATCCCTATTCTATTTTCAGGCTGACTTTTCTTTTCATGTAGCCTTCCATATGTGAGGGGAAACGTGTGGTATTTCTCTCCCTGTGTCTGTCTTATTTTCTATACATGACACCCTAGTCATCCTTACTGTTACAAATGACAGGACTTCATTCTTTAGTAACACACACACCACACACACACACACACACACACACACACACACACACACACACTCACGTAGTGTAGTGGCACACACCTTTAATTCCAGCATTTGGGAGGTGGAATCAGGTAGATCTACATGAGTCTGAGTCAAGCATGGACTACATAGCAAGTTCTGGGTCAGTCAAGGCTGTATAGTAATACCTCCCTGCTTTGTTTTGTTTTGTTTGAGACAGGGTTTCTCTGTGTAGCCCTGGCTATCCTGGAACTTGCTCTGTAGACCAGGTTGGCCTTGAACTCAGAGATGAGCCTGCCTCTGCCTCCCCAGTGCTGGGATTAAAGATGAGTGCCTCCACGCACAAACCTATCTCAACCATGCACAACAGACAAATGAATACATACATAGAGATGTGGCCACACAGCCACACACTGACAGAGGCTCTCAGAGAGATTATGTTGCTTGTCCAGTGTCATACCGCTGGCCTCTGGCAGGGTTGGTCCTCAAGCCTCTCTGACAAGAAGCTCTCTTCTGTCTACTTCACCACCTCTTTGGGACTAAGACACCGGACCTCACACAGTCAGTGACATCTGCTGGTGCTAAAGGGTACACTCCTGTCCACCGTGGGAGGGTCTGCTATTCTCACTCTTCCTGGTCCCTCCTCTGCTGCCACACAGAACTACATTTTTGGATAAGACTTTCCTGTTGGATTTCAGTCAGGCTTGGCCAATGTGAGGCACTTGAAGGAGGGTGGAAAGTGGGAGAGGCAGAAGCCAGCACAATCCTGTTTCTGGAGATGTGATTGACTCAGGGTGGCTTTGCAGATTTCAGCAGCACTTGGATTTTCCAGAGAGGCGTACAAGGAAACAACCTTTTACGATCCCTGCAATCTCTTTATGCTCTGTCCTCTGCCCTTAGCCCTTTGAAAAACAAGTTCTGTGCCCCCATAAGGATCACCAACAGAACACACAATGGTCACCCAGTCACAGAGGGGGAAACACGGGCATATTGTGCTGCACTGTCGTTGCAGCACAGTTTCTGATTTCAGCACCACGGTGGTGGACAGCTCCAAGCCAGCTGAGGTGTCAGTTCAGTGCTAAGAAGCAGATGCTGAAACAGAACCAAAGGAGAAAGGGATTTATTTAGGGAAAGCTGCGAAGGATAAAAGGGAAAGAAGCAGGAGTTAGCAGAGAGAGCCTCAGGTGGCAACAGGAGTATAACCTCTGAATTGCAGTGGGTAGCCATTCCAGCTTTGATCTGGAAATTCCAACCCCCATTGAGGCTTCGGTAACTGTTACGCCTACAAGGCAGGGCCAAGAGAGGACCCTGAAGACCCAATCCGGATGGGCCAGCTCTCTCTGTTCCTGGACCCTGGACAGTGGAGGTTGACCGAGCAGAGCTCCAGAGAACACCACTGGACTGTACTACGTCTTTCCCAGACCCTGCAACCTACCTATCCCTTCATTTGTAAGTTGCACCACTAATAAACTTTCCTTTTAACTACATGGAGTGGCCCTAATAATTTCACCAATACTGAATGGTTAGCCACATACACGTACTTACATATGTACGTGTGTGTGTGTGTGTGTGTGTGTGTGTGTGTATGTGTGTGTGTGGTGTCTATGGCTCCCTTCGTATCTTGTCTTGACTGGGCTAACAGAGAGACCATGAGCAAAGGCTGTCCTCCAGAGGGGTTTTGCACAAGGTCAGAAGGCCCTGGTTCCAGTATTACAGTTATGGTCAGTGGTTGACTGGGAGGATTCAAGAGTCAACAAGTAGCCATGGCATGTTGCACATGTGTATGGTGTGTGCAGCAGGTGGCTCGCACCTCTGAGCAAGTTCCACAGGAGCACAGTGGTAGACGTCTATGGATGTTCCAAGGAAGCCCAGAGCTTCCAAGCTTTTTTCAAACTGGAGAGCTGGACTTGCACAGACACTTTGTCCAAAAGCACAGAGAGATCACAGGGACCTGGATGAGTGTACAGCTTCCCACCTGAGGGAGGGTCCCAGTAGAACTGAGATCACTGTCCACAGGAGTGATCTGTTCATTCACATACAATTCCTCCACTTCCCACTGCCTGGCTCTTGTTTTTTGAGGTCACTCTTTAGATGCCCTACTTGCACACAAGCCCTTATTTTAGAATCTGAATGTGAAGGGAGATGTGAATGGAATAACTGAGGTTGAGCACCCTAGAGGAGCTCACTGGTGATGTTCAGAGTAAGAGAACTGTAAGACTGGGGAAATGGGACTGACACTCCAGGGAAGAGCTGAGGTTTTATAAAATAATAGAATTGTTTTATTTCATATATATATGTAAAAGTACATGTACATGCAGGTCCACATGGAGACCAGGGACAACCTTGAGAGTTGGTCTTTAGGGGCTGTCCACTGAAGATTTTGGAGACAGGATCTCTCATTGGCCTGGGACTGTTTTCACCTCTCCAGTGCTGGGACTATAGATACATGCCAACACCAACAGAAAGGAACCTAGGACAGAGGTTGTCTTCCATATCTGTGTGGGTATCTAAGGCTCCTTGTGTGTCTCTGACAGCATTGGTTGATGATGAGAGGAACTTATTGGAGCCTCCTTTACCTGGAATTATGGGACTTCTTGACCTTTGGCCCTTCCCCTATCAATCTAGTTTGAAATATGTGTCCAACCCAGAAGGCTCCTTTGTTCTATCCCTTTTACCCACTGCAAAGAGGAAGCTTTTGCTAAGGAGGCCACTGGAGCTGAGACACTGTCCTCCTGGGCTGCTGCTGGGCCAGCCGCACTGAAAACTGTTTCGTGAATCTCTGTGCATCTATCTAGCAACACTTTAAAAAATATTCCTTCAATACTTTTTGAAAACATTCCTTTATGACATCATTAGCTGCTGGACATGGTGGTGAACACTTTCAATTCTCAGTGCTTCGGATGCGGAGCCAGTTGGATCTCTGTGAATTAGAGGCTAGCCTCTGCATAGTGAGGTACAGGTCAGCCAGGGCTACATGGTGAGGCACTGTCTAGAGACAGAACACAACACAACCCAACACAGGGAAGAATGAACTCAGAGGATTTGGAGGGGGCATTATTTGTTTTTTAAAGTAGGGTGTGCTGGATAGTTTTATTTGATATAAAAGTCATCCGAGAGGATGAAACCTCAACTGAGAAAATGCCTCCATAAGATCCAGAGGTAGACAAGTCTGTATTAGTGATTGATGGGGGAGGCCCCAGCCCATTGTGGGTGGTACCACCCCTGGCCTGGTGGTCCTGGGCTCTATAAGAAAGCAGGCTGAGCAAGCCATGAGGAGCAAGCCAGTAAGCAGCACACTTTTATGGCCTCTGCATCAGCTCCTGCCTATTTGAGTTCCTGTCCTGACTTCCTTTAATGATAAATAGTGATGTGAAGTGTAAGTAAAACAAACTCTTTCCCCACAAAGTTACCTTTGGTCACAGTGTTTCATCACAGCAATAGAATTCCTAATTAAGACACAGTATCTCTCTATGGAACTCACTATGTAGAGCAGGCTGGCCTTGGGCTCAGAGATATGCCTGCTCCTGCCTCCCTAGTGCTGAGATTAAAGGTGTGTGCTACCACACTCAGTCTTTTTACTTATAACATCATTCTCTATCTTCTAAAAATAATGATTTACTCAAAATATTTATTTACTTTTGTTGATGTGTGCATGTGCCACAGCAAGCATGCAGACAATCAGAACAGAGGACAACTTGTGGGATCAGACCTTCTCCTGCCATGTGGGTTCCAGGGATGGCGCTCACATTGTCAGCAAGCACCTTATCCACTGAGACCTCTCACCAGCCCTTTGTTAGCTATTTTGATGCAGATAGTTTTCTATTCTCCTGGATTTTGATCCAAATGGAGGTTATTATGTGCCAGAACAAACAGGAACCTCGGGTGTGTACAGATTCCTGGGCATAAGTATGAGTGGAGGGATGAAGTGTTCCTCTTCTGATGTCAGGAAACCTAAGAACTGTCTGCAGTGTCCACCTGCCACATCTCTGGCAAACACCTCCAAGAGCAGCCTGTGTGTCTCTGTTGGGTGGGATGTGTGTTCTCTTCAGAGGCTACACACCATGGCAAGCTCAAGCTCCTGAAATCTATAATTAACTACAGATTTAAAAATCATATTCACTCTCCAGAATAGGAATGAATAAACTGGTTCATTTGTGGGTTTTTAATCCTCGAGGTACACACGCTTTGTAGAGGATCAGATTTCCAAACCATTTTGTTTGCTTTTGATACACAAGCAGTGGTATCCTGTGATCTGTTCAAATACCTGTGGGTGCTGAGTGCAACCAGGGCTGGGAGGGGTGGTGTTCTAGGGACAACCAGGGCTGGGAGGGGTGGTGTTCTAGGGACGCCTCTCTTTGAGAGACGCTAATGTAAGGGACACAGCCAGAATCTAAAGGTGACCTTCACTGAAAAGGACCAGCATTCCAGGTGGTAAAGAATCTCAAAGCCCCATGGGGTGGGACAGAGAAATTGCATTTAAAAGTCTCCACCTTTCCTCTAACGCTCATCTGTACTAAACTCTGAAGATCTCTTGCTCTAAATGGGGATGGGCGTAGCAGGTGAAGCAGGCAAGCCTCACTTCAGATATCTGATTCAAATTCTCTGCTGCAGGTGTCTGATCCCTTTGTTTCCTTTTCTGCAAACACACAAAGCAGCCAAGTAGAATTAAAGACACAAAGGCTGACAGTAAACAGAATCAAGGAAGTTCATATTAGGGGTCAGAAAATGTGGCTTCTATTCAGCGTGTTTGCAGGTTTGTGACTCCAATTCTATTTTTCTAAAATATGGGTAGACTGTGGAGTAGAATTTAAAAATCCATGCTAGTGGCTGGGGAGAAGGCTCGGTCAGAAAATTGCCCAGTGCACAAGCTGGAGGACCTGGTTTGATCCTTGAGACTAGGAAGCTCCCAGAAGCTGGGGTGGGGTGATGGTCACTTGGCACAGCTCTGGGAAGACGGAGACAGGAGGATCCCTGGGCTGGCTAGTCTTGCCCCATTTGTGAACTCTAGGTTTAGAGAGAGATCCTGTCTTACAAAACAAGGTGGATGACTTCTGGGAAAGAGGATGGCTTGCCAATGACCTGCTCCCAGCCAGCCCCAGACAGCCAAGGCGCATGCTCCTTTCCCTCCAAAATTAGAGACAGTCAGTACACCTTGTACCGATTTGCTCAGGTCATACCTCTGGTTTTTACAGCTAAGGTAAGATAGATTGCAGGAGCAGTACAGTGCTCTCCTGTGTGCCAGAGGGCGGGCGGGTCAACAGACGGGTGCTGGAGTGAGTCTGAGGTGTGAAGGGAAGAGGGAGCCTGAGGACGTACCTGGCTCCCACAACCTCTGCTTTGTGTAATTGGGGCTTTTTATTAGGGAAACTGTTCTCAAGATGGAATCCTTTTCTTCTTCCTTTCTTTTTTTGAGACAGGGTCTCACTATATAGTCTTGGCTGGCCTGAAACTCACAGAGACACAGCTGCCCCTCTCTGAAGTCCAGGGTTTCCTTTTCTACCACCCTTATGAGTTTAGGGAATTTGTCACAGGAGCATCTGTAGCCCAACAGAATCCCAAAGCAGAGGCCCTTCAGAGCGTGGGGATGCCTGACAACCTTATAAAGAGCCCACTGTGCTGACAGCTTCATGTGCCTTCCTGGTTCCTCCACCGCACTCACGGCACTGGGGATGCTGACTCCCTACAGGCTGTGGGAGGCTGGCGGGGCTGGGAGCAGGACCTCCTGGCCTCTCCTCTACCCTTCATCCATTAGAGTCTTGATAAATGGTTGAATTCACAGCAGAACAAACACCGAGGGAGCACCGAGTTTGCAAGCCACCTGGACAGTACGCAGACTCTCCAGGCCACTATGAACCGTGGTACTGACTGCAACGTGAGACACAGGGAGAGACAGGTGCAAGCACTGAAGGCCAGTTTCTCGGCCAGGAATAATAGCCTGTTCGCTGTCTGAGCCCCAGGGTGGCCCTTGCTCACTAGGGCTTCTCATTCCCCTTTCCCGAGGGTGTTTTCTGTGTGACTTAGAATAAAGATTGGACTATGTAGATGTTACCATGGCAACTAGTGTTTTAAATAAAAATAGTGCTACACCCCCGGTAGCCTGTCAGTGTGAAATGTGCCTATCAGCATGAAGGGCTGGGGGCATCTTATTTCTTCAGCTCCCAGCATCCATCTCCTGCACTTCTCCGGGCCTAGAGGGTAGAACTGGCTGTACTGACAGATGCCCAGCTCTGGGGCTCCTTGGGAAGAAAGTGGGTGCCTGGCACATGCAGGCCCTCCTCAGCCAGCCAGGGGACTCTGCTTGGTGCCTCTTTCTAGGGCATCTGCCAGTGCAGGAGGGTGTTGTATTTTCTGTCTTTCTGGAGAGAAACTTTGATGGAAGACTGGTTTTGTCTGTTTCTAGGAGGAGCACAGACCAGGGTGCATATGTTAGTGTTAGGTCTCAAACCTGGGACAAAGGCTGAGGTGCTTACTTAACACATCAAAGCGGACCTGTCAGGTTCTCCCAGCATCCCTCAGTCCCTGCCTGTTACAGGTTATGGCTGGCATACCCTGCCCTACTCTAAACTTCTCCAACCCAGGGGCTGGGCTGTCCTTCCCCCAGCTGCCCCTCCTTATATAATCTAACCATTTTTGGTCACCTGGTCTCTTTTTTGTCTACCTTTACCTTCCCGGCCTCTTGGTCTGGCTCTCCTTTTCCCCTCCCACCTCTCCTCACATGGCTCAGGGTCATGTCTATTCTGGATTCTTCTAGATGTCCCTGCCTCTGGCTATGCTCTCCCTTTTATCTACAATAAACTTCTCTTGTACCATACCTAGGAGGAGTCATATTTTTCCTTTTTTATTTCTGTTTTCATTCATCTGGTGCTGAAACTCGGGACCAGTCATGTCCTTCCCTCCCTCCCTCCCTCCCTCCCTCCCTCCCTTCCTTCCTTCCTTTTCTTTCTTTCATTTCATTCAGTTAGTAAAGGTAATTTTGTGAGAGTGATTGTGTGGACAAGCAGAGGACAGCCTTGCCAAGACCAGGTTGCTCAGGAACCCCCTGGGCAAGAGAACAGCTATCACTACCATTAGATGCAGCTCCTTTCTGAGGCATTAACTTTGCATTTTCAGTCTGACTTTTTTTTCTTTTTATTAAGAGATTATTCTATTCGTTTTACATATTAACCACGGATTCCCCTGTCCTCCCTCCTCCCACCTCCCAGCCTTCCTTCCCAACCCACCCACTATTCCCACCTCCTCCAAGGCAAGGTCTCCCTTGGGAAGTCAGCAGAGCCTGGTACACTCAGTTGAGGCAGGTCCAAGCCCCTCTTCCCTGGACTAAGGCTGAGCAAAGTATCTCAGCATAGGCACCAGGTTCTAAAAAGCCAGCTCATGCACTAAGGACAGGTCCCGGTCCCACTGCCTGGGGGCCCCCTAAACAGTCCAGGCTAAACAACTGTTTCACTTATCCAGAGGTCCTAGTCCAGTTCTATGGGGGCTCCTCAGCTATTGGTTCACAGTTCATGTGTTTCCACTAGTTTGGCTAGTTGTCTCTGTACTTTTTTCAATCATGGTCTCAATATCTCTTACTCATATGATCCCTCCTCTCTCTCACCGATTGGACTCCTGCAGCTCCGCCTGGGGCTTGGCCTTGGATCTCTGCATCTTCAGCCTGACTTTTTGAATGATCAAAACTAAAACTTCTGAAAACCCACAGAAGTCCTCAGGCAGAGAGCCAAGGGGTTAGAGCCTATGGCTTTAGAGGTGAGTAGCTACTTAAGAGGGTGTGGGCCCAGGGCCATATCACCTGCTAGGGCCTCCCTGCCAAGCTGAAACACAGTGGACTCCCCACAGATCAGGGCACTGTGTTGGGAAGAGGAGCCTGATCTGAAAATCTGGAGGGATCTGAAACAATGTTTAAATGTGATGTCAGCCGAGTCTGGTGAGAGCCTATTGGTGCACTCGGGTCAGCTGCTCCCCATCACAGCAACTGGGGAAGGGTAACCCAAACAGGTGTTTTCTGTTTTTGTAGGTGTTTAAAGCTGGGCTTGGGGCACTCACTTGTAATGCTGTCACTTAGGAGGCGGAGGCAGGTGAATCATGGATTCAATATTATAAAATGAACAAAAAACTGATCTAAAAGGACATCATTATACACAGTTCCAACCATACAGTCCCTCTGGGAAAGGACAACCAAAGCAGTGAAGGAGTGGTTGCTAGGTGTGTTGGGAAGAGAGGGAGAGGGAGGGGGAGGGAGGGGGAGGGAGAGAGAGAGAGAGAGAAAGGGAGGGAGGGGAGGGAGAGAAAGAGAGGGAGAGAGAGAGAGAAAGAGAGGGAGAGAGGTGTAAAGATGGGAGCCTCCAAGGGCAGTGCTGCTGCTGACACTGACACACTGAAGAGTGTGTCACACATTGAGTGAATTCTGATGTGAACTACCGACTCTGGGCAATAATGATGTATCTGTGTAGGCTCATCAGTTATAATAAATGTGTCACTCTGGTCGGAGATACTGACAATAGTGGAGGCATTGAGTGTGAGTAAATTTCTGCTCCTTTCACCCAGTTTTGCTGTCAGCCCCAAACTTCTCTTAAAAAAAAAAAAAAGAAAAAGAAAAAAAGAAACAAAAACCAAACCAAACCAAAACAACCCCCCCAAACCCAAATCTATTAAAAAAAAAAGCCAACAAAAGCAAAAGGGGGTGGGAGGGCCAGCGAGATGGGTCAGCTGGCAAAGGTGCTTGGCACTAAGCCTGGCAGCTTGAGTTGGATCCTGGGATCCACATGGTGGAAGGAGAGAACCAGCTTCTGTGAGTGTCCTCTGACCTCCACAAATGTGTCCTGGCCTGTGCTCACCCCACAAATAAATAAATGTAAAATAAAGCACAATGGGAAAAAGCAACAAACCAAACCAGGAAACTACACAACTGTCTCCTGTTTGGATCCCTCAAAGCAGACTCTGAGACCGCAGTTTATCTGAGAGAACAATCCGGGAATCACAAGTCTGGGGTAAGCAAGGAATGGATGAACCTTTCAGGGGCATCATGGGCAATGAGACTCCATCTGCAGGAGAAAGCCCGGGAGCTGTGCTGAGTATGGGGTGACTGCCACCCCCTCCTCCGTGGTGGAAGGTGGCTGGGGTTGTAGGAGAGGGTGAAGGAGAGAGGCATTAGCTCCCAGGCACTTCCTGGATGACAGGGCTTGCCCCCAAGCTGCGCTGGCTCTTGGGTACAGGCATAGGGCTTAGGAAGGCTGGGATGAGACTGTGGCACATGTCTCAGGAACTCAGAGGTGGCTGGGATGATGGCAGGGTATCCATTGCCCATGCCATGTGTGCATTTGAGATTTATGGAAAGAATCTGACTTCAGTTTCAGGGTGTGTGGTATGACTCAGGTTTTGGGAGAAGTAGCACCTATGAGTACCCCATGGCCCAGGGCTTTCATAACACAACCCACCAACAGGTTAGCGAAAGCAGCAGGTATTTCTTAGGTGCTTCTGTGGGTTTGCTCTCTCCCAGGGCCTCTCCTTCTTGTAGACTGGCACACTCCTGCTGTGTCCTTATAAAGCTTTTACTCGACTCTCCATTTATATAGAGGTCACTGGTTGTATTGGATTAAGGCCCTACCCTTATGACCTAATTTAGTATTAAATTACTTCTTTAAAGGTCCTATTCAAGGGCTCAGAGCTTCATCATATACTCTTAGGGGGACACAATTCAGTCAACAGTTGGAAAGAAGAGAAATCCTTATGCTCAACTTCTGTCTACTGGTACTAGAAAACAGCTTGCTGAGAAGCCAGAGGCCACACAGCTAAAGTGGCAACATTATGTTGAGTTGGAATCAAAGCTGTATGCCCAGGGTGCCTAACACACCAGGGACCTTTGAGACCCATGGCCTACTCCATGGCCACCATGCCTCCAAGCCTGAGATCCTGGGGCTAACCTCTGGTTCTGAGGCCTAGGCTCCAGGGCTAGCCTTGCCACAGGCCTGTGCAAGTGCTTCCTTCAGACCTCAGCAGGGCAATCAGCTAGGTTAAATTGTCAGCAGATGGATCTGCTCCCCTGTGACCCACTTCTCAGGTTGGTGAAAACTTTGGGAGAATGGGCATCCGTATCTGTTAGTGGGCAGGTAACTGAGCCCTCCACAAGGAAGGCAACTTGGCTCATATTCAGACCCTTTCGGAAGTCTCTTTGCCATAGCCTCAGAAGGGAGTTACTGGACCCAAGATTTAGCTGTAAGTTGACGTGGGTCAACTTCTCCCATTTTTTCTTTATTAATATCAGAACGATTAATACCAAGGGACCTGGCAAACAACACCTTATTCAAGGGCGTGTGCAGCCACAAAGCACAGTTCTGCAAAGAACATTTCATGAGCTGGATTTTTTTTTTTTCACACTACCAGAAAAGTCTAATTTCAGAGCACTCTACCATGTGGTCCTATCCCTGTTAAGCATGAAGAGTCAGATGAATAAGCCAGGAGAAATCAGTGCTTAATTGTGAAGGAGTGTGGAGACTTTAGATCTTCTTCACGCTCCCCCTCCCCCCACTGCCTCCTGGCCCAGGCATGCCAGCCTGGCAGTTAAAAATCTATTTATTTTTATTTTGAATGTAGGAGTGTTTGTCTGCATGTATGTATTTGTACCACATGCATGCAGTACCCATGGAAGCCAGAAGAGGGTGTCATATCCCCTAGAGCCAGACTCAGATGGTTTTAAGATGCCTCCTGGGTGCCGAGAATCAAACCTGGGTCCCTTGACAGGACAACAAGTGCACTGAGCTGTCTCTCCAGACCTGTACATTTTACCCGTTCCTTTTATAAGACGTCCCACAAAATAGTCGCTATGTTAAAATCAGTTGTGCATTCTCGCAGATGCTGCTGGTTGGCAGCAATGAGGGTGTCAGGGATTGCTGCTTTAGCTTTTTACTCCTTATAGTGGCATCTCAACTTTCCCCAATGTTCCTAGTTCTGGGGCCCAGGGATGGAGTTCTGCCCGGGATTTCCAAGTCTGCTGGGTTGGAATGTTCCTGGGAAGGTGGCATCATTTGGTGAAAGGAGGGCTTATTACTGGCCCCTCCAACTCGCCTTTATTCCTCTTGAAATATGGAGGTGCTGACTAGAAGGCCAGCATCCTTTCTGTGATCACAGGAGGGTGGTAGCACAGAGGGACAGGGTCAAAGCTTTTGATAATATCCCTGAAATTTTGCACCAAACTCATCGATTTCTGGCTTCTTCATCCAGTTAACAATTCAGATGGAATAGCTGGGTTAGCTGTTATTTAAGATTTTGGCTCCAAGTGACAATGTTGAGACCTCCCCTCTAGGTCCTAGATCACACCATTCCACTTTCACAGTGCCTGCATGGAGAGAGGTATTTTCCCCACGCTGGCAGTACCATCCACTTGACTATGGTCAGTGCCCATGTTTTATGTACTGAGGAACACAAGCACTCCACATGCTAAACCCAGCAGACACCATATGAGATGGCAAGTCACATGTCCTGTAAATGCTATATGCCAGGTGATGGGGGACAGAAGAGGCCCACACTCTGGGGTCCAGAGGCTTATTTCACACCATGATGGCTGTGCACCCTGTTGAAGGGTGTGGTACCATGTGAGTGTAACAGAGGAGCCTGACTGGCTTTCAAGGCTCATAAAAGGTAGCAGGGAAGCTGCTTCCTGTCTTTAATAAGTTCAGCAAGATGCAACTAATTACCAAGCCTGTCTGTGACAGCCACAGAGTCACTGCTAGAGGCCTCTCTGAAGGCTTTAGTGCCCAGATTATGAGATAGTGCTAACATATGAAGACAGTCTATGAGTCTTCCATGAGAATAAGCTAGCTATGGCATACTGGGACACTGGGGGGGCTTTCGGCATTCCAGCATGGACAGCAGAGGAACCCATGATTGTTCATAGAACAGCCTTGCACCAAATACCAACCGTGTACTAAGCTCTACTGTGTTGGCTTTGGGTGCACCCAACAAAGTAACAGTGAATTCTGCTCTTGGGGACTCATGGTCCTGTGGGAGGAAATGAGATCACAGGTGACTACTGTGGGCCCACGTAGCCTCTGCTCCAACAAGGCATGATTGATGGTTGCTTTAATTTTTATTTTTTTCTCACTTTCAGCATGCTGTCCCCAAGCCCCAGTTGGAGACAGTTAGGAACCTTTGAAATTAGTCACTTCTACATAGCCTGGGGTGAGTGGCAGGAGCTGATCACAAAGTGTGTGCAGAATGTCCTTTAGGCAGGCAAGCAGCATACCTCCTTGGGGCATGATAATCAACTGCCAAACTATGGGACCCTGAGCAAGTGTTTTCATTGTCCTGACCCTCGTCCTTACATAAACACTGGAAGAATGCTGCTTCCCTTCCCAGGGTGCTCTGGGGTCTGGAACAGTACAAATGTCTAGCACATGGTAAATATTACCAGGGTACTGGGGCCACTGCCTTTGTCCTGGATCATAAGAAGCTTTGGTTCTGGAAACAAAGGGCCAAGCTGTGTGGCCCAGAGCAGGTTCCTTAGCTATCCTGATCCACTTCCTTGGCTATAAGATGTTGCTACTCAATTGGCCGCTTTGCAAGCTCCAGAGATCCACCTGTCTCCCCTCTCAGCTGCTGGGATTACAAGTACATGATGCTCCGACCGCCTTTTCTGTGTGGTGCTGGGGAACCAAACTCAGGTCTGCATGCCTGCACATCAAGTGCTTTTCCACTTAGTGCTCTCCCAGCCCTTTCATGCTGATGTCTTTAAAAATAGCATTTCAAGCTCTGTGTGACACTCCTTCAGGAGTTTTTGTTTAGGGGATAGAGGGAACAGCGGGTCAGATTAGTTTTCCTCTGAAAATCCGAATTATGATGAAGACCTCAGACTTCAGCTCTGTCCTCAAGGCCCATGTGCTCTTCCCTCGTTAACAGTGTGTGAAGTTTCCTGGGTTGTGATGGGAAGTGGGACACAGCTTCCTCCTGGTCTCACCACAGTGCACATGATAGAAAAGGTCAGAACTCTTGATCTAAATTACTGTGCTTTTCTTAGGGACACTTGCCTGGGTCAGTACCTACTGAGATGCTGTGGATTAGGGCTGGAAAGATCTTTGCCTCCAGTTTATCTGTTGTATGTATGAGATCATCCACAAGGTGAGCATAAAGGCTATTGATAACTACCACCGAGATAACAAGGATGATAACAGAAACTCATTCCGAGGTCAAAGAGGCACAAGATGTTCACATTCAATTGCAGTCACCACCCAGTCTCTAGTCTTCAGGTCAGGATTTTCTGTTAGGGGCCGATCATAAGTGGTTTTTCTCTGATCCCACCGGCACAGGTGCTCTACACTGGACATTCTGGCTTCTCTGCTTCCTATTTGTTCATGAAAGAGGGGCCAAATGAAAGGCAGGGCCAAGCGAAGCACTGGAGACAGCAGGTTCATGATTGCAAGGGTAGGCAGCCACTTCCACCTGGGGGAGGTTAGTAAACCTCTCAAGATCCTCTTCTTAGAATGAGGTTGCCTCAAGCCCAGAGTGGAGAATGTGAAACCTTTGCAATGTGCCGGATGAGAAGAGATGATAAGGCTTTGCATTGGTACCTGCGGCCTCCCTGGGGCAGGGATCAAACATGCCCTGGACAGATTTATTCAGAACATAGGAGAGGTCAGGACTCCATAGCCCAGGGCACCTGGAGATTTGCTCCTAAGATTTGGAAAAATGGGTTTTAAACTGTTATTCAATATTCGGTGAAAACCATAAGCATCTCACACTGCCGAGGATGGTGGCCTGGGAGGCTTCACTGTCACATGCTGCTGAAGTCATTTTATTTCCTCCCTCCTTCCCAACAGGTTCTCGCTGGCTGGGTTTGGTGATTTTGTGTGGATGTGTTAAAGGTGTGCACCATCGTGCCTAGATTTTTCTTCTTCTTGCCATCAGTATGATTTGGAACTCTTTGGAGTGCTGGCCAACATTCAGCACAGCCAGGGTAGGGCTGGTGAGTTGCTCACCCAGTAAGTTCCCAAGGGTGCTGATAAGGTTGCCAGTCCCAGAAACACAATTTGAAAAACACTGTTCTACTTGGTATTCAGTATTACAAGAAAATGTCCTTTCTGAATCCAGCTTTTCCCAAAAGTACTGGCCATGGCTAGCAGGTGGTAGCCAGTCTGAAAGGTCAAGACACTGGGTGTCAAAGTGTGTGTGTGTGTGTGTGTGTGTGTGTGTGTGTGTGTGTGTGTGTGTGTGTGTGACAAGCCCACTGTGTCCACAGCTTTTTGTGGTCTGCATTGGGCCATGTTAGAGACTCTGCTGTTTGCAATGTGGCTTGCTGCAAATGTCAGCCTCACAGAACGTGCAATGCAGAGATTCTAAACTTCCAATGAATGGCTGCTGAGAAGGCTACAGAAAACAGTGGCTGTATGGTCTTGCTCCCTTCTGATAGGTATCATCAAGTCCACCTAAGTGGATGGTCTGGAATGTTCTGGGGCTGCAGTTGCTGTTCTCAGTGAGACAGAATGCGCATTAGAATAAAAGCCACACTGTGAGTAGACCTGTGTGGCTTGGAGTGGTGCCCTGGTGGGGTTAAGGACTGAGAAGAAAGCCCAAAGTTGTGTTCTCCCAAACACTGAGTTCTGAGGGGGCCCTCATCTGAATTTGCAGCTTTGGTATTTGAAGGTCACACATAAACCTCAGAAGAACTTACTGGTATCACGCCAAATTAAAATCCACTTTCTTCTGGGTCTTATATGATTCCCTCGTTTTCTCTGGGTGTGACCCCATTTATATTTTATAAGGTTTTAAGTCAGGTCCCATTCTGAAGCCTTTCAAACAAGGTTAAAACCTCTTACAAATGTTTATTAGTGGGGCGGGGTACCTGGTTAAAGACCCCAAGGTGGAAGATTCTGAGAATAAAGAGGACTTTGCTAGGTCCCTAGGAGTGACCGCTCCTCAGCATCATGGCACAGTGGCTCAGGGCACAGACTTCAGGGCCTAGGTTTGAACAGCAGGGTCACTGGTGACCAGTGGTATGGATGGTATCTCCTTGGCACTTTCTGTAAGGGTTGTTCCATGACCCAGCTGATAGGAAAAACTGAGGCTGATTTGGTCAAATGCTCAAGGCAGCACCTGGCAGAAGATCCACTCTACAAGTGGCTAATGGTGCAACATTGCCAAAAGGAAATAAACGATGCAGGACTCAACAAAAAACGAGAGGGCCTTGGAGGACGCTCACAGCCTGGGCACACTCACCCGTACATTTAGCAGGCATTACTGTTCTCAGTTCTCAGTGAGCTGGGCCCACTCCAGGCAAAGACACATCCTGAAGTGGAATGCAGAAGGGCAATGGTGTGGGTCGGGGTGATGAATGCTCCAAAGGACAGGAATTACATCTTGCCATGTCCATGGACTGGTAGCTACCTGTCCTTCTCAACTGGGGAATTAGATCTCTCTGAAATATATAAACCATCAATCAGGTGTCAATCACAGGAGGATGGGCTGGGAGTATCCTAACAAAGGCCTGGGTGTGGAGAAGGCGGGAGGTATTTGGAAAAAGAGGAGATGGATGGAAAGGGAGGGAATTGGAAGTGGAAGTCAGGATCTGAACCCCTCACCAGTCCTTCTATGGGGGAGGGTGATGCCAAGTCCTTGCAGATAGCTCTAAGCCTGTGGAGGAACTGCAGGTCTTAAGGTGTAGTCTTGAGAAGATGATTTGAGCATTCAGAAAATATAGGTTTGGAACAGATGTTGGAGAGGATGTAGGGAGGCCACAGAGACAAGCAGTGAAGGAACCCTGGACAGACTATCCCTGTGAGTCTGATGTGGCATGGGGCCAAGGATCCATGTGTGCCCCATACTGAAGCTGTGCCCAGAGGCCGAGCCATGAATGGTGCTGGTCTCAGCCTTGTGGTGTCAGGAGTCAGGAGCAGATAGTTGGTGTATTCTAAGGAGATGGTAGGAAAGTCTTTCTGAGAACTGGGCTCCTTTCACACAGAAAGCAAACATAATTTAGTACAAATGCTACATCTACCCTTAGGGGCTCAGGAATGGGGTGAGGAACAGGAGACTATAGGAAGCAAGAGGCTCTTCTTCCAGACTCGAAGGTGACAGAGACAGCAGTGGCCCAGGATCTGTCTGGGTGACCTTCATGCTGGGCAGTATTTGCACTGGTCTTGTCCACTTCTGCTTGGTCTTGTCCACTTCTGCTCCCCATGGAACCTCAGCAAAAGCCCTGTGCAAAGAGCGTAGAGTACAAGGATCATCAGAGTGTCCTGGCTCTGTATCCTACACAAAGGCAGAGAGGAAGATCCTTACTTTCCCTTGGTACTTCAGAAAGGATGCCATACAGCTCTTTAGAGTCTGCCTGGGCTCTGAAAAACAGTGTCACAAGTAAGATTTATTAGGCACAAAATACTCAAATTTGGGAGACCTTAGGTCTTCAAGTCTAAAGGGTGGGGCTAGGAAACCGCTTGCCAAAATAAGTAAGTGGAGCCTTAGACACCTCAGTGCCCCTCGACGCCTAGTGCTTGGCCCTTGTTGGTCTTTGTGTCTCTAGCAACTGTGGGCAGAGCTGTGGAAATCTCAAAGGATGGAGTCAGCTGCTTAGGGAATCTGGGACCATTTGGGACGAAACACAGGCTGCCCCTGTAGGGGAGCCCTTTGAAGGTTACAGTGAAGTCACCCCTTAACCAGGTTCTCCCTCCTCCACTGCCAATATCAAAACCAAGGGCTGGGGAGACGGCTCAGTTGGTCAAGTGCTTGCTGGCACGAGGACCAGCATTAGGTCCCCAGTACCCACTGGACACACTCCAGTGATGCCATTTCTGGGGAGGCAGAGTTGAGAGGATCCCCAGGGCTTGGTGACCAGCCAATCTAGCTGAATTTGTGAGCTCCAGGCTCAGTAAGAGACTCTGCCAAGAAAAAGTGGAGGACTGGTGAGATCGCTCAGCAGGTGAAGTTACTTGCTGCCAAGCCTGGGCCCCATGTGACAGAAGGGGAGAACCAACTCTTGAAAGTTGTCCTCTGACCTCTACATCAGTGGTTCTCAACCTTCCTAGTGTTGTGAACCTTGAACACAGTTCCTCATGCTGTGGTGATCCCTAACTATAAAATCATTTCGTAACTACTTCATAACTGTAATTTTCCTCTGTTATGAATTGTAATGTAAATATTGGTGTTGTTCCCAATGGTCTTAGAAGGCTCCTGTGAAAAGGTAGTTTGATCCCCAGAAAGGGTTGAGACCCACAGGTTGAGAACCACTGCTTTGCATGTGCATGTTATAGCATCAACATGTACATGTGTGAGCACACACACACACACACACACACACAAAAATAAATAAACAAACAAACAAATAAAATGGAGCTGTGGAGTTAACCATCTGGGGTTTAAGAATGCTTGATGCTCTTGCACAGGACTGTGTTCAGTTTCCAGAACCCACATGGCTGCTCATAACCCCCTATAGCTCTAGTTTCAGGAGATTTGACATCATCTTCTAGACTTCCTGCTCACTCGCACACATGTAGTACACATAAACTCACATAGGCACATACACACAAATAAATAATAACATTTTAAAAAGAGCAATTGAGGAAGATACCTTTGGCTCACACACACACACTCACACACACACTCACACCTACACATACACAATTTTTAAAAAGGAGTAACAGAAAAATAAAAAAGAAAGAAAACAAAAAAGGACAAAAAGGACCTGGTTCTATTGTCTCCACGTGTTTCCAGCCTCTCTGAGGAGACATTCAGTTGAGAGTGCTCAGCCTTTCTAAGGGCCTGGGAGACCTGTCTGCGTGGCTGCCTTTGTGGGAAGCTAATGCTGCCTGGAGTGGTGTGCTCTTCTGAAGTTGAGCTATTTGTGTTGCAATAAACAGCAGCTTCCGCTGCCCCTTCGGAGCAGGAGTTGGAGAGTCACCACGTGGGGCTGGAGCCAGCTGGAGGAGTCCTGGAATGACCCGGGAGTGGGGAGGTCGTCTTACAGGCTGTGTCCAGGTGCTCAAGTGTCCGGATGCTCGATGCCTGTAGTGCAGTGTGACCCTGGTGTTGTGAAGTAGCCGTTCTCTGATTGGCAACGGCCTGATTCACAACACCAGCTGTCCCGCTACACCATGCCAGAGGTCTCTGGAGTGGCCGATGGAGGAGGGGTCGACTCTGCAGTACCTGAGCTGCTGCTGGGAGGCGCTGGCGACAGTAGAGTTGATGACTCAAGGGTGCCTGCTGGGAAGAAGTACAGACAGGATGACAGTGCGGTAGGACCAGGATGCTCGCCCTGACTCCTACTGCAGAGACTTTTCCGTGTGTGTGTGTGTGTGTGTGTGTGTGTGTGTGTGTGTGTGTGTGTGTGTGTGTGTCCAACCTTTTGTTTCCTCAGGAGCCATCCACACATGCCAAGAGCAACTGTCAGACCAACCAACAAAAGCTGAGATAGTCATCAAGTAGTCCTCATGAAAGAGAGGGGTTGCGGAGACACCTGTAGTGAGTTAGATTCCTAGAATCCACATAAAAGCCAGACTGGTGCATAGCAACATGGGGAAGGCAGAGACAGATGGACCCCTAAGCCTGTGGGCTAGTCAGCCTATCCTCCTCAGTGAGTTCCAGGTCAGTCAGAGACCCTTCCTCAAAAAACAAGGAGAACGGTGTCCTGAGAACCAGCACCCAGGGTTGACTTCTGAACTGTGCGCGCGTGCGCACGCGCACATGTACTTGTGCACTAGCTGGCCGAGAAAATCCCTTTTCACTATGGCTACCTGTAACAAAACAGAATGTAACAGAAAAGCCCACCTCCAAATGCAGGGGAAGGCAGGGGCTACGTAAATGGCCTATGAAGGGTCAGATGCTGAGGGCTTGGGGTTTTTGAGTTTCAGACCTGTCCAGCTTTGTAGCTCACTTCTGTTCTTGGGGCCATCTTTCTCTTCCTTATATTTCTATCCTCATTCAGTGATCCAGGTCCAATTCTTTGTTGCAGCACAGAAGAACCTGGAAACCTCAGTGGGTGCCACTCACACCCTGACTCACATCTTTATATCCCAGTGGCCTCAGCAATCCTGCACACAGGCTGTTACCCTGGGTCTAGTTACTTCTTTGGGGAGTATGTCTAGAATGTGTGTCAGGAAATTATCCTCCTACCAGCTACCAGCCAGGGACAGTAGGGAGCTGGTAGATAACTACCAGGCTCTCTTGCTCTTTGGGTAGAATGATCTGAGATGTGTTTTACAGGGCCCCTCAGAGGTCCTCCCCTGCTTAATTCTTCTCCTCTATTGTTCCATCCCTGGGACTATACCAATACTCAGCTGCCTGTTGGAAGTGTGTTGATTTTGAATGGGTATAGTTACACTCTACCTGCAGTAGGGTAGTCTGAAGGGCAATGCATGAGTCCTCATGTGTTTACCTTGTTCTGAGAATGAGCCAGACCCTGGTACCTCCTGAAATGTCACATCACTGGAGTCTTGCTTGCTCATGTTAGTCCCATACAGACTCTCAAGGAATAAGAATACACAAGTCAGGTCAACAGCCCGGGTCAGGTAGGCATTTTCTTTTTAAATTTTATATTTTGTATTTTATGTGTTTTGCCTGCATGTATGTCTATGCACTATGTGTGTGCAGTGCCTGTAGAGGCCAGAAGAGGGCATCAGATTCCCTAGAACTGGAGCTAGATAACTGTTAGCTGCTGTGTGGATAATGGGAATTGAATCTGGATCCTCTGAAAGAACAGCCAGGGCTCTTAACCACTGAGCCATCTCTCCAGCCAGCCCCAGGTAAATATTTTCTACATGTGTTTAACCTGCATTTCTTCATTGCTTTTTCATAGGTAAATAATCCTGTAAGTGGGACCTTGGCACCTGAGTTTTGAGGCATTAAGGGTCAGTAAAGGGCCAGTGCTGTACCAGGCACTGAGCACAGAGTGGCTACTTGAAGACAGTAACACAAATAAACTGAAGGCAGCCAGTTTGCACTCATACATCTTGGCAGATGCCACCAAGATGGGGTGTACAAGAACAAAGTCATAGTTCAAAGAGGCTACCAGGCTGTTGGAGCCCAGCCTGGAGTTTATTACTACGGTTAATATTGCATGCAAATAGATTTCCCCACTTTGGTCATACCAGTCCATTAATTCAGGCCCTGTCTGCTACATCTTTATTCTCAGCAGGTTAATCCTGCCAAATGCCTTTTCTAGAGTTCACACCATGCTGTGCTTGTGTGTAACAAAGCAATTGTGCTAATCCTGTCCTCTCAGCTGTGTGTGTCCCCGGCTGGTCAAGGCGATGATGGAAGAAGGGCAGTAAGACTTTTGTCAGGATCTCTCTCCTGCTCCGGTCCCGCCCTGCCCTGTCTTTTTCTTTCTTTCTTTTTAAATTCATACGTTTTTCACTAAATGGACCTAGAGTCAACCATAGTGTTGGACATCTGCCAAGGCCATTGTTTTGTGAAGAGGGATGCCAAAGTTCTTGGTGATCTCCAACCTTCTTCTAGCAGCCCCACACAGCCATCAGCTAAACACGCCAACGAAGGCTTAAAATGGGACGCTCGGCTATCTTGGGCCTTTCTAGGCAGACTCATTAACATGGGCTGTAGAAAGATGGCTTCTGCCATCACCAGATGGGGGAGGGGCATGTCCAGGTCCCATAGAATGCAGTTCCTCTTGTCCACGGCCCAGTGCTGTTAAGGTCTGGGATTTGAACCTGGACTTATCCCCAGAGGAGAATCTGGGAGGCTAGCTCAGTTGGTAGAGTGCTTTCCCAGCATCCAGAAAGCCCTGGGTGTGGTGGTGTGTGCTTATAATCCTGGTACCAGGAGGCAGAGGTACTAGGGAATCAAGTTCAAGGCTATCTTCAGCCACACAGTTGAGTCTGAGGCCAGCTTGGGCTGCATGAGACCCTTGTTTGTTCACAAAGAAACAAACATCAAAGCAAATCCCAGGGAAGCTGCTGTTTGCCTCTGACTTTGAGCATTATGTTTCCTCTCTGGCCTTGACGTGGCTTGTTTATAAAATGGTCACACTGTAGACCCCCTGCATATGACATCTGCAAGGATTTAGTTGTTGAGACATGTTAGCCATGCAGAATGCTGCTGGCATGCACTCAGCCAACATCAGGTGAAGGTTAGCTCACAATTTCATGGATCCGGAAACTGAGAACATGGTGAAACTCCACATAGGCATGTCTTTGAGGATCTTCAAAGGGGACTCTACTCTCTTTTGTGTTAATTACAGAGACACAGCAATGCAGAGGCCTGTCTACCTTACTTCTCACCGTGATGTGGTCTTCTGCATTACCCTGGCAGACTTCACTGGTCCCAAGGAGGCACTGCAAGGGAAGTCAGCACCTGTGATTCTACCCCAGCTCCGGGTCCTGCATCACTACTGTGACCCTGGGCAGGTTAGTCAACCCAAGGCAAGGGGGTCTTGAGTTTCAGGTTATCCTGGGATACAGGGCAAGACCCTGTCTCAAAATGAATGAATGAATGAATGAATGAATAAATAAATGAAATAAGAAAAGGTTTAGCTGAGGTACCTAGCACTCTTCTACCAACACAGTAGTGCCTTCTTGTAATGGCTATTGGGACTTTGTGGCTATGGAATCCCCTGCAAGGTACCACAGCTTGTTTTCTAATCCTCATCCACCTGCCTTCTAGTCTTTCCACAGCATTCATGGAGATGCTGCTACATGGGATGTGGAAGGAAATCCATCATATAGCACCTGGCTTCCAACTCAGGCTAAGGAGGTGAAGTGGCCCCATTGTCTCACTGTGGACAGGTGGCTTGTGTCTCAACATCCCATAGAGCCTGTCCATGTGACTCCAGCATGTGAGGGAATGCTTTTAATGTATGGCATTCATGTATAGATCTGGAACCACCCCGTGTGACACAGCTGATTATGTATATGGTGTGAATGCTCAGCATCTTTCTGGTGGCCTTGAGTTAGAACACTGAACCTATCTTGTGTTTCAGGACAAGATTTTCTACCTTGCCCTGGAGACAGAATTATTTTGCTACAAGGAGGTGCTGTCTGCTGCCCTCAGCCGCCAAGCTACTCTCCCTCCTCCCTCCTTCCTCTCCCGGATCCTGATAGAGCTCCTCAAAAACAAAGTCCCATCACGAGTTGAAACCACATGATGTCCTTATCACCAGACTCCACATCACATTTGTTATCTTTCCTTTAAAACAACGAGAAAGACCATTTATTTGTTTATTGTGTGTGGGGTGTGGAGGGAGGTGTGCATGCCAGGTAGCTTGTGTGGAGCTCAAAGGACCGCTTGTGACACTTGGTTCTCCCCTTCTACCACACGGGTTCTGGAGAAAGTGCATTGCTGCCGAGCCATCATGCTGGCCCCCAATTAATTTTCTCATTTAGTTTCAACTAGAGTGAGACACTACTTTTTACCAGTTTCTCACCCAAGGAAACAGAGGCGTGGCATGGTAATCAGCTTAGCCACAGCTGTAGATAGCAGATGCCACAGACCGAGGCTTGAGCCCTGATCTGCTGGCTCTAGGCCACTAAACTGCAACATGCATCTTGGTGTGATGTCATGGCTGTGGTGATATATTGTGCACCCTAATAAAATTTGCCTGAAGATCAGAGAGACAAAGGAACAAGCCCTGCCATGTCTTACCTCTAGGACTCCTCAGCTTGAAAAGCTCTAGTTCCTGTCTTTTCATACCTTATATACCTTTCTCTGCCCAGCCATCACTTCCTTCCTAGTGCTGGGATTAATGGCGTGTGTGCTTCCCAAATACTGGGATTAAAAGTGTGAGATCTCAAGTGTTGGGATTAAAGGTGTGTGACTCCCAACTATTGGGATTAAACATTTGTGCCACCACTGCCTGGTTCTGTTTCTCTCCTAGACTGAGTCAATTTCATGTAATCTAGGGTGGCTTTGAACTCACAGAGATCCAGACGGATCTCTGCCTCTGGAGTGCTAGGATTAAAGGTGTATGCCACCACTGCCTGACCTCTATGTTTAATCTAGTAGCTTGTTCTGTCTTCTGATCTTCAGGCAAATTTTATTAGGGTGCACAATATATCATCACACATGGCTGCTATGGGGCATGGGTGGGCTTCCTGAATTATCAGTTTCATCTAGCATTTCCTTATTCCAAGTTGCAGCTATGTCTCCCGCAAAAAGGCCAACCTCATGTTCCCCTTATTATATATATTTTAAGACAGAGTCTCGTGTATCTCAGGCTTTCCTCCAACTTATTATGTAGCTGAGGATGGTCTTGAACCTCTGATCCTTCTGCCTCCAGCTCCTAAGTGCTGGGATTACAAGCATCCATCCTAATACTATGTTTATGCAGCACTTGTGCATACTAGGCAAGGACTCTACCAACTGAGCTACATCTCCAGGTTCCTGTTATTGTTTTGATGAATATTATACTTAGGCTGTTTTGGGGGGGTGGATAGGATGAGGGTATATATTAAAAAAAAAAGAGGGGAGGGGTAAAATTAGACAACCCCAGTACCTAACATACCATAATGATCAGAACAGGAACACACAAAGACACACACACACACACACACACACACACACACACACACACACACACACATCATAGCCTAGTTTTCACTTGCCAATCTGTTGAGTAAAATCAGTCAGCAATACCATGCTAATTAAAACATGATGGAATCAGGCTATTTGCAGAATTAGCAGTTGTGACTGTCTGGCCTCGGCAGCCCGGGGAGGCCCACTGAAGGCTGCTTCTGCATTGCCTTGTCATGAGTCTGCGCTGAGAAGACAGTTTCCCCAGCATGGCTGGAGCAAGCCTTGCCTACCTAGCAGACTGCAAACGTCTCTGAACTTTGTTCACTGGATAAGAGACGACATTAACTTCCCATTAGCATCCCTGCACATTTCCTCCAGGAAGATCAATCACACTGCAGGCCAGACACATGGCCCTGGCTCATAATTCATCTTGGGAGGAGGCATAGCTGTTCTGTGATGGATCTAGGGATCTGGGTGCAGCTTTGGTTGGGGGAGCAGAGGGAAATGAGGTTTAGGAGCAGAATAATAAGTAGGGCTTTGGGAGAACACTGCTTTGTGTCATGTGGCCAATTTACTGTCAACAAATTTGCTTTATGCGTGCATGCTACTGGAGTCTGAGCTTATGATGCCTTCTTTTCCACACTTCAAATTTGGTGTCTTATGTATGTGCATGTGTATGTGCGTTTGTACATGCGTGTGTGTATGTGCATGCGTACATGTGTGTGCGTGTGTGTGTTTGTGGTGTGTCCTCCTTTCTCGTTTTAGCCCAGTCAGTGTTGGCTGTGCTCCATGTCTTTGGTGTTCTAGAGGCCAAGTAAGAGACAGTGTTTAGTGTTCTCTATTAAAATAATTCAAATATGGCAATTTTAAAATGTCCTGACTTCCTTTTACTTTGTTGTTGAAATTCTGCTTTTCTACCCCTGCCCCTGCCCTCTCTTCCAGCACTGTTCTCCTCTCCATCCTGGGCTTCTTAAGGGCCGATAACAAGAGGAAGTGAAAGCCCCACAGGAATCTGTCAACACCGAGGAACTGTGGGATGAAGGTTCCCTGAGGAGCTGTGGGCTCCTTGTCTCCCTGAACCACGTTTGCTGCTGTTTTAAGGACCAAGAAACATGCAGGGGAAATGTGCTTTCTCGAAATTCGCAAGAAGCTACTTCCCCTGGAGCTACCTCCCGCCACCCTGGAATCCCTGCAAGACACACTATGCTGGGACACGCTCCCTGGGTAAAGAGGGCTGCTGTCTGTGTACATCCCTTCACCAGCCCAGGGAGACATCAACAACGGGAGGGCGGACATGTACCACAGATAAAACTGTTCACAGCAAAGACAATTCCTTGTAACCATGCTGACCACAAGGACCTGCAGCTTCCCTTCCCTGCCTGTCCCATCAGAACTTCCAGGGGAGTCCCAGACCTTCTGGAAGGCTCCAAGCCCAGGGCACATGAGCTGTTGTCCTTTCTTGTGGGGGCTCTAGGCAATTCCATTTTCACAGTAACAAATGTTCCATTTTCAGGTAAAATACAGAAAGAAGAAGCTGGAAGGAGCAGTTTTTCTCATGGAAGACAAGAAGTTTCAGTTGGGGTGGGGTGGGGGTTGGAACCAGCATTAAGACCTGAGCTGCCTGCCTGGTGCATCTATCTTCATCAGACCCACTTTCTCTCCTCCAAAGTCCTGCTTCCTTCCCACAGTTCAGCTGTGGAGCCCTGTGAGGCTTCTCTTGAAAGGTCTCGAGACTTTCGTCATGACAAGTTTGCAATCTGTCCAGTATTTCTCCTAGGAAATTCTCTTTGTAAAAGTGCAGCCATCAATATAGTCACAGAGGGAGACAAATGTTTAATGGATGGAGCAATTACAGATCAGCAAGAAAAATCCTACTCTAGGACAGAATAAGTTACCAATAGCCACAACCAGTGCTCAGGGACAGTTTCTGAGAATGAATGAGGGAGTCTCCACCTCTCACACCTGAATCCCTGAGCTGGGACGACAGTGGAAACACAGACTCACTCCAGCGGTGTCAGCAATGTCACTGGATCACTTCAGATGTGCTGGCGCACTGCCAGCCACTACTGAGGAAAATTAGCAGCCAAAGCGAAGGTCAAGTCTCAAGTTCACATTGCTCTGGGCACGGGGACCACTGGCCTTGCAGACCTTGATTGGGCGTCACTGGGATATTACTGTAGCAGCAGCAGCAGCTGAGGACCACTGCAGCCCTGGGCTATGGACATCACCTCAGCAGTGTGTTTAAGGGGCTGGGGAAACGGCTCAGTCAGGAAAGTGCTTCATGCAAGGCCCTCAGCTGTATTACAGATGTTGAGGGGAGGAAGACAAGAGGTTCCTGGGACTTTCTCAACAGCAACTCTAGCTCAGCCAGTGAGTTCCAGGTTCAGGAAGAGACCCTCTTTCAAAAAATAAGATGGATGGCTCCTGAGGAATAACACCTGAGAATGATCTCTGGTCTCCAACACACATGTGCACACATGAACACACAACACACACACACACACACACACACACACACACACACACACACACACCACTTTTAAATTCTGGGAACAGGAGGCAGCTTACTGCACACAGAGGCACTCTAGGCTTGAGCAGAATCATGGGAGGAACAGGAAGGTAACAAGCACAAGTGAGATACCATTAAGGGAGCCACACAGCTTCCCTGGTAACCCTATTGAAAATGAGTCTTTGTATAAATATTGGTATCATTAAATAAGGACTACTTAGACAATGATCCCAGAGACTTTGCTCAAAGTAAAGCCTTTCTGTCACAGAGGTTAGCAAGGACATCAAAACACATTTCCATACTCCAGAGAAGATGTATTACTTGGAAATGCTACATCCTGTGCTGGGCAGTGCTCCACCCATGCCTCAGTTTCCCCATTGCTAAAATGGGATTGGCAACACCTTTGAGTCTCAGAATCAAACACTATGTGACTGGTTTGAGGATACAGCTGTCACCAATTCAGACCCCATAAGCTGGCTCAGAATAAACCCACTGACCTGTGGGTACAGCAGAGCCTCTCCAGGGTCACCCTGGAACAGCCACATTCTTCATTCTGCAAGAAATTTCCAGAAATTAGTCATCTACACTGTCATCCTGTCCACTCAGCCAAAGCAGCTTTGGAACACAGGTGAGTTTCATGGCCAATGGAGGGGTCCCTGAGTTACTGCTGGCCTGGCCTGATGCTGGGCTGCGAAGCTGAGGGTGAGACGGAGGACGGGGGTGCCCTGCCAGCCAGGGCACTTCATGCAGGGCTCTCCCCTGTGTGAGCAAGTTCTTCGACAAAGAGACAGGGCACAGCTAACACCATCACTGTCCCCTCGAGTGCGTCTCAGTTCCTGTGAGACTGGATGCATGAGTAACATGCTTTCACGGGCCTTTCAAGTGCAGGCAGAGAGAGCGCACAGAGTTCCTGCTGTGAGGCTGGGGCACCTGGGTCCATGTTTGCCTCCGACATGGGCCTTTCCAGCCCCGTACCCCACCCCCTAGCCCTTTCACACATTGCTAGACAGAAAAGAAAATGGTGCGATACTCTGTAGACAAGGCACTAAATGCACAGCCTAGTCAATGACATTCCATGGTCTCTCCTCCCTCCTAGAGGTTCCACAGACAGCTACAGAGCTGAAGCCTCAGAAAGAGAAACTTACAAGAAAAATTGGGGAGAAAGGAAAAACCCTCAACAATGGTGTCTTCTGAGCTGAAGAGACATTGGACCAAGTGACTCTGGTCACAGTTTTGTCTCCATTTTGCAAACAGAGACTGAAGCAGAGGAGCTTTCCTGGGAGCAGTCTGTCAGTCTTGATGAAAATCACAAGTTGGAAGGGGTGTCTCTATATCACAAACATCTTCAGCATTCCCTTAAAGCATCCTTTGGTTCATGGCTGGCACTGTTTTTTTACTGCTCCACTGGGCTCACAACAGCAAAAGGGAACAAAGCAGCTCCTTCACAGAGTTTAACTAGACTGGGTGGACATGCTGTACTTGAGGGGTCCTCGGGGGGCACCCAAAGACACCTGAGTACCTGGGGTGGGGGAAAAGGTCAGCAAAACAGACTTTGTAATGAACTAAGTCTCCTTCCTTGGCTGCAGGAGAAATGAGGTAAATAAAGGTTTATAGCCATTTTCATTTACCATACATAGTCACATGGCTGAGAGCTCACACGCGTGTCCTGGCCACCACAGAAATGAGCCCTAACAGCACAGTGAGTTGTTCCTACAACAACTCTGACAGGCAAGTCCTGGGGGTGCTGTACACTCCAACAGCCACTCCTAAGTAATGCCTCTAGGCACTGGGTCCATTATTTCACAGATCCATGACATTCTTGGAAACGCTTTTTTCCAATATCAAAGCTTGGGAAGACAGCTGGGTGTGCTGAGGGACACCTGAAATCCCAATGCTCAGGAGGCAGCATCAGGAAGATGGCCTCAAGTTTGGGGGTGCACAGATTAAGGCTCTCAGAATAAAAGCAATGGGCAGTGTTAGACAACCAATGATGCTATCACTGAGAAGACATTTTGGAGACCAGTAGCCACCACAACCACCTCATACCCAGTAGCCAGCAGCTGAGAGCTTGCCTCTCGCCCCTGATTCACTGTGACCCATCATCCCTTTTGAAATCAAAGAGCCCCTCTGTACTGAGTGGTTTTGTGTGTCAACTTGACACAAGTTAGAGTCATCAGAGGAAGGAGCCTCAGCTGAGGAAATGTCTCTTTGAGGTCCAGGTGTAAGGAAGGCATTTTCTCATTTAGCGATCAGTGGGGGAGGGCACAGCCCATGGTGGGTGGTGCCATCCCTGGGCTGCTGGTCCTGAGTTCTATAAGAAGGTGGGCTGAGCAAGCCAGTGAGCAGTTCCCTTCTATGGTCTCTGCATTAGCTCCTGCTTCTGGGATCCTGCCCTGTTTTGAGTTCCTACCCTGACTTCCTTCAGTGATGAACAGCAATGCTGAAGTGTAAGCCTAATAAACCCTTTCCTCCCTAACTTGCTCTTTGGTCATAGTGTTCCGTCACAGCAATAGAAACCCTGACTAAGATACCCGCAATGGCAGACCCCTCACCTGGTGTCCAGCCACCCCACACTCTGCTTTGAGGTGGTTGCTCTCCTCAGTCACACATTACCAGGGACTTTTGTAAGAGACACCCTCCAAGCCTACTGTGGAGACAGGCTAAGGAAGTGGACATGTAGCACGCTTATGATAGATACACTACACTACATAGATTCCCAGAACATTTCATACACACTATGCCAAGAGAGTTTGGAAGTAGATCCTGAAGTGCTGCTTCAGCCACCCAGATACCCGTGACCTGGGGGGCAGACACCTCCTCCCCTCAGACCCTAATCGTCCTGCCTTTCCAGGGACTTCTGACATTTCTGCCGGTGGTAACCTGAAATTCTCTGACAGATACTTGCTTCTATTTTAGTGTCTTGCCAGAGGTGAAATCTTGATTTCGAAGCTGAAGAATCCTTCTGACCCTAGAGGGACTGGAGAGGAAGGAAGCCTGAAGCAGGGCTCGGCAGTTCTTTCACCAGACCCAGAAGCCGGAGGTACCCATCAGCATGATGACTGAATCCAGGAGTCGGAGGCTCTTCCCTAGTGCTCTCTGGCCCAACCCAGCTGCTCTTCTGAACTAGTCTTCACGGGCTGGGACCTAAGAGACAATGTTCACTTCCACAGCACCTTCTTGCTCCAGACACCAGAGACTCAACCTAGAAAAATCAGCAGTAACCTAGTTCAGGGCTGCTGAGGAGGGACGGAGACACTCAGCCTGGCTTGGATGTTCTAAAAAACACCACCAAGCCCCACTACTCACATATACCTCCGCTCCTAGCCTCCCCAGTGTTGGGATTACAAGCAGGTGCCACCATACCTGTGGCTTCTGGGAATTAAACTTGGGTCTTTATGCTGTGGAGAAACATTTTCACAAACAAGCTATCTGCCCAGCTTCTCACCCAACTCCCCACTTTTTGACAAAATGTTGTTATCCTAGGCTGGTCTCAGACTCACTGTCCTCCTGTCTTTGCCTGTCCACTGCCTCACCTGCTGTCTGAGAGTTGCAATCTTTCTGAAACATAAGCTTTGGAGAGAACACTGGGACTTTGGGTCAGGCGATGCTTAAGCTTACTTCTCAGCTCTGTAGTTCCCCTGCTGCATGCATCTCTGTCTCCTCTTGGGTAGAATGGGGACAGTGTGTCCCTTGGAGGGCTGCTGGGAAGATCACTCCAGATGATGTGGGGGAAGAGGAACCATCAAAGGGTACCAAAGAGAACAGGGGAGTCCAGAGCATCTTAGTTTATTCTTCTTACCTTTGGGACCTCTGTTCTGGTCACAAAAAGAGATTTTTCCACCTGGTCTATGATTTCCTGTGAGAATTCCTTTCTGATTCAATGTCTAGGAAGCTGGGCTCCATACTACAGAATGTGTTATTCAGAGAACAAACCAGCAAAAAGCACGTAAGCATCGAAGTTAAGCCAGGAGGATGGACACTGCCACTGTGAGCAGGACACCCAGGTAGCCTGTCAGGCTTGCTCCTGAGGATTTACAGACCCAGGCATTAACTGTCAGCCTCGCAATGAGAAAATTAGTCAGCAATTCCCAGTGACAGCTCTTCTTCCAAACAGTAAGAGAATAATCAAACACTAAGTCCTTCCAGTCAAGCTGAAGAGCAGGATCTGAGGAGTGAGTGCATCCCACCTGCCAGTCACTGGGAAGGAGGGACAGAGGTCTGCTGCAGCTTCAGCTTTTATTGAATTCCCAGGATTATCAGGATCTGGAAATTCTGAATGAAAAAACCACAAAGGCAGCGTGTGGTATGAGTGCAGCAGGTGAAGGCTTCCAGGTCTGGTTTGTGTCTGGATGGAGTCATAACTGCTAAGGTCCTGGTGCACCAGGGTCTGCTCTTCCCCTTCCACTGAGGTTAGACCCATTGCTGAGGCTTTAAATGCACTGGTACCTCCTGCGGGGACGTGGCCTGCTGGAAATTGTGTTTTATGCTTTGGGTCTGATTACCCTGGAAGGTCACCCATTTGGCATCTTGATTTTGTTTCTGGTCCACTTTGGAACAACCTTCCCTGGCCCCTCTTTGCACTGCATGCCCCTCCCCCGGCCTCCAGTCCTGGCTGCCAGGGCTGAATTCAAGAGTGTGGGTGTCATTAATTGACATTCATCAAAACACTCCTCATTGTTCGCAGACACTCCAGGCCGAGAGGTGGAACTCACTCGGTATTTCATGTTAATCTGTATTGAGGACTTGCCTGACAAAACACATTACTGTAAGAATTGCCAGCCTGAAAAGGAAGCTGTGTTTATGGCTCACCCCTATTTTTCTTGCCTAAAGGAAATGACACTTCCCCTCTCTATCCTTCCCAGCCTTCCGTGGCTCACCCCCCCCCCTATCATCCACACAGCCTTAACATTTAATTTTTCCTTCACGAGTAAAGCTTTTGTTGGTGGTGTCTGCAAAATTATAATAAACATCTTGGGCTTCTGCACTGGTGTCTGAGATTAAAAACACAAAACAATGAGCCTCGACATACTGCTTTTAATACGGTGTGATAAGTGGCATTTCCCAGGGGACCACATTGTGGCCATCTAACTGCAGCTCCATGGGCTGTGTGCTGGGGCGGGGGTGCGGGATGTGTCTCGAAGAGGAGGCTACAAGCCATGCTGAATGGTGACAGTCGGGACTCAGTGTCCATGTGACATCTGCAACACAGTGTCAACTTGTGTTTCAAATTACTTTCACGTGTAAAAACAAACAGGGTTCCTCTCTCACAGGGAAGATCTTTTATTTTATGTTCGTTTGGTCTGTCCTCTCTGGATGAGGACACTTCCCTAAGTGCCCGCCAGGCACAGCTCACTCTCTTGCTCCTTTCTTACCTCTTACTTCTCTTGTCTCTGTCTGTCTGTCTGCCTGCCTCTCTCATGTCCCCACTCAGACATGGCCTTTCACTTCCCCCTTCCTCCTTCCCCTTCCCCCAAAAAACCTCTTGTGCTAACTCTGTTGTGCATGTGGCATACCTTGGCACACCTTGGCAGGGTCCACTGAAGGCTACCCACTTTGCCTTTCTTTTTTAATCCTTTCAGGTGGGCCAACCGTATGTCATGGGAAACCCTAGTTCTTGTGACAGGGAAGAGGTTACAGGGAATCATGAGCTTTGTGTGGGAAGGACTGGTGGGGTCTATTTCTGACTGTGCAAGCCTGTGCAGAAGCCAGGCGGAACCTGGCTGGATACAGTGGTTCTGTCTGCTCCTTCTGCTGGGTGAGTGCCTTAGATCAAGTTGTGGGGAAAGCATATCTGCTTTGGAGACCCTGGATATAAAATGGCTCACAGCTAAATCCATAATTCAAGCATCCCAGGTCGGTGCTAAAAGAATCCATTTCAATGACTTAAAATGTTTCTAATTAAACCTTGATGGGTACAGCTGTCCCCTCCTTTGGTACCAAATCCATGCTACCTAGGTGATTTTAAAAAGACATAATTAGTTTTTTTTTTAATTGCCATGACAAAATTTCTGACAAGAGCAATTTAAGGAAGGGAGGGCTTACTTTGGCTTGTGATTTAATGGTTCATTCAGTGCATCATGCTGGGGATGGCAGGGCAGCAGGAGCCTTATGTGTCTGATCACAGTGAGCTTTCCCTTTCTCACTTTTTATGTATGGGGGGCCCCTGAAGGACAGCATGCCTCACCTCCAGGTGGTCCTCCCTCCTCAGTCAATCTCTCTGGAAACATCCCGACAGACAGACACTCAGTGCAGATCTCAGGCAACTCTAAACCAGCCAAACTGACAACGAAGAGTCGCCATCAAGATGTGAAGAAGTAACAACTTTGCTGTTTGAAGCATTAACTGCAGTCCTTTACCTTCTGAATTTGAAGAATAAATAACAGAGGAGAGTCTTGCATGGCTTGGATTTGGGGAGATGGATGAGAGCAGTGAAGACTGACCAACACTGACCAGCCACACAATGTCCAGACAGCAGGAACAAGGCGGCATCTATTCTAAATCTAAGCACTGTTGTCTCAGTTAGGTTTCTGTTGCTGGATAAAATACAACGACCAAAAGCAACTTAGGGAGGGTTTATCTCAGGTCTCACTCTACCCCGAGGAACGTCAGGGCATGAACTCAAGGGAGGACCCTGGAGGCAGAAACTGAAGCAGAAGCCACAGAGGGACTCCACTTACTGCCTTGCCCCCAGGAGTGGCACCTAAGAGTGGCACCACCCGCAGAGAGCTGGACCCTTGCACGTCAATCATTAATCAAGACAATACCCCACACACTTGCAGACAGGCCAATCTTATGGAAGGCATTTTTCCCAATTATAATTCTCTCTTCCCAGGTATGTTTAGATTTGTATCAAGCTGACCATAGTTCTGATGTAAGAATTAGGTTAAATAAATATGCTCTATTAACTTCTTGAACAGATTATTAAATGGATATATTCAGACCCCTGACCCAGGCTCAATCCAAGATGGCCACTCTGCCTTGCCTCTGAGAGCTGGCTATCAGAAAGCTTGATGCCTCCACAGACTGTCTGCAAAGAACTCCTGGACCATGTTGACTGCTATCTGCAAACTAACCTCAAATCCAGCCGAGGGAAAAGAGGGAGCAGACAGGAGGCCTGAACAGAGATGTGCCGGCTCCAACCCCACAGGCAGACTATCCCGCAGAGGCCAGACCCGAGCCTGCAGAAGATCCTGCTGCTGCTTGTGGACTTTCACGCCAGCACACGATCCTTATCATAGCATTTATGCCCATCTCTTGCATTTCTGCACTAGGCACATCATATCTCTCCACAGGAACAGAGGATCCACAGGGATGGGGGTTCTTTGACTTGCTCAGCTCTGGAGCTCGAATGCTAAGCTCAGCGTCTAGCATGTAGCAGATGCTGAATCAGCTTGCTGGGTGGATGAAGGAGTGAATGAAAACGGGGAGGTGCATCACTGTTCCTCAGAGCTGCTCTCAGTACTTTTGGTATTTGCACAGAAGTAAGGGAGGCAAAGAGAATCCATGGGAGCTGACACAGAGCAGGTAAGAATTGACTCTGAATTATGTCAAAGGTGAAAAGCTGATGGTTGTTTATCTTTGTTGCACTGTGAACTGGGTGTCACAGCCTGTTGACTGTGCTGCTTCCAGCCTGTTCTTTTAAGGCTGGTAGTTACTGCAGAAACATGGTTGGGTAGGGGAACAGCAGGAGAAAAGAATGAAATTGGATGCCAAGCAAAGCATGCTTGAACCAAGAGGGCAGAAGGGTCTCTTAGTGCTGTCTGGAACTCACCGCATACACGTGCCAGTGTCTGTGGGTGAGAATGACCCAGGGTCAGTGAAAATTCATGGCTTAGAAGACTCAGATACTAAAAATTCCTGTTCTAAGGGCAAGGGGGTTCTTTAAACACTTCTTTCAAATCCAACTATGTGTAAACATAAATTTGTGTGTGTGCGCACACATAGCATCCACAAAACCCTTTCCTAACCTATCACTGAAAATCCAGGTGTATAGTGGAACCAGGTGTATTCAATTGAAGACTGGCAGGTTATATATTTATTTCCCTGGCTTAAATGTAAATCTCCATCCCCCTCCTCCAGTGTTTCACCCATGCTAGGTAAGCTCTCTTCCACTGAGCTGGAACCCAGCACCCATGGACTTCTCTTTCAACTGTTATTTACTAATTTTTTGGCCTTACCAGTGAGTGACCTTTACTCGAAATTCTTAGCTCTTCAACTGACCAGCCAACCTTTCTGTAAATGGTTAAGATTCTTATGAAAACTAGACTTATGGACAGAAGGTCAGATTCCTTTGCAAACGGAAGCGACCGCTTCTTTTTCAAGCTCTACAGCTCCACACGGGAGTGGGGAAAAAAAACAAACTGGCTTCATGCTCAGCCAACTGACTGCTTTTCTATGTTGGAGCAAGTCCCTGCATGCTTGTCAGGGGATGTCTGCTGCAGGCTGAGTGGTGACACATGAGAGCTGAGACCAGAGCCTGAGCACAGGGTCCTAGGCTAGCAGGGTGGTTGGGCACTCAGAACTGAGAGCCATGCCTAGCTTAGATATACATTAGTGACAGGACTCATCTTTGCTACCTGTTTTGAACGTGATAATCACATAAAGGGCTTAGATTACACATGGGAACATGGCACAACATGATTAAAAATGTGCCTTCTGGGGCTGGAGAGAAGGTGAAAAACCAGCCTGTCTCCATCTTAGATAAAGCCATCTTATAATAAAGACCAACTAGGTTCATTCATGTTTATGATTAAGTCTGTTTCTCAAGGATTGGGCTCTGCCCCACCTGTCACCTTAACTACAAATGGCTCTGTACTGCCTGGTCCAGGAATGTAATCATGTCTTTGTTTTAAAGTTGTTAAGACCACCTTACAACTATGTCTTTGTTTTAGGGGTTGTTATGACCAATTTATTATGCATATGTTCTGCTTTTATATGCCTACCTATTTGCCTGCCAAATCTCCCATTTAGAAATTCCCTACTTATCTACAGCCATTCCACCCTGAATGTGCCTGATCTTGTCTGAAGGGTCCCCTACTCCTAAACTAAAAACCCTTATCTTTCCCATGTCCAGTGCTGATCTCTTGAACCCCACCTTTAAGGGGAGGGAGCCTATGCACATGAATAATAAAGCTTGCTTTAACTGATTTGGCCATGGTGATTTGGGTCAGTGGTATTTCTCCTTGCATCCATGGGACTAACAATGGATCAGAGGTCAAGAGCAACTCTGCTCTTCCAGAGGATACAGCTTCAGTTCCCAGAACCACATGGTGGCTCACAACTTCTGGTAGCTCCACTTCCAGGGGATATGAAGCGCTCTTCTGGCCTCCTTGGGCACTTGGCACACACAAAGTGCACATATATACATGCAGGTGTATATACACACACACACACACACACACACACACACTTAAATAAATCTTTAAAAAATGTAAAAAAAGAAAAGTGTGTCTTCTATTTAACCATGGGGAAAGAGTAGAAGAATCCAATTAGAGGCACATTCTCAGTTCTTACAACAAAAATGCCAGTGTAGGGGTAGGAGCTTGGGGCTCAGCAGCAGAGCCTGGGCCATCATGCTGGAGGCTGGGATTCCCTCCTCAGCACCAGAAGAGAGGTGTGAAGGAGGAAAAAGGCTTCAAGTCACACAGAACCAGAGACCTTCCGGGCAAATGCAGCCTGTGCTACTTACTGCCTGGGTTCAGAGAAAAGGAGATGGCCACGTGATGGTGGCGCACACCTTTAGTTCCAGTACTTACTTGGGAGGCAGAGGCAGGTGGATCTGCATGAGTCCAAGGCCAGCCTGGTCTACAGAGTGAGTTCCAGGACAGCCAGGGCTACACAGAGAAACCCTGCTCGAAAAACCAAAAGAGAGAGAAAGAGAGAGGGAGAGAGAGAGATTTCTGTAAAGCACATCATTGGGATAGGAGGAGAATCAGAAGGTAGACCCTGACTCTGTACCAACTCAGCCAATACAATACAGCAAACAGCTGAGCCGAGACTACCCCACCTCATTATCACACTTGCCTAACTGTGCATACTTTGTGTTCTCAGTAAATAGATGCTGAAATTCTAAAAGATATATGAATTCCTAAGAGTTTTTTTTTTTTTTTTACAATTTTTTGAGAAGTATTTTTTTTTATTTTATATTTATTTGTCTGTGTGATGGCACTGGATCCCCTGGAATTGGAGTTACAGATGGATGTGAGACACCATGTGGATGCTGGGAACTGAACCTGGGTAATCTGGGAGAGCAGTCAGTGCTCTTGACCACTGAGCAGTCTTTCCAACACTCTTGTTTTCCTTCAGTTCTAAAACATGCCAGCCATAGCCACATGCTTCTCTCCAAGGAAGCAAAAGCCACATGGGAAATAACCAACATTACTACAATACCTATTTGTGTATTGTGGTATTTCTGTAAATGCCAGTATCATGTGACCCCAGTGATTGCTATTTGTGTCACATAAAAACTTAAACTGTTTCCTAACTTTTGGGGTCCTGTTAGAAAAACTGCTTGGGAAGAGAAATGATATTTTTATTTTATATGACATTAAGTAAAACAGATGATTTCTGCTTTTCTTCCCATAATATAACAGGGCTGGAATCATATAATGCCTTTGGATTTTTAATTATGTTAGAAAAACAAATTCCAGAGTTATTAGTATCTTCTATTTGGGCTTCTGAGGGCCAGTGTGGCATCTGCCCTAGAAGCCAGACCATGTCTTACGTATGTTCAACCACTGAGGAGAATTCACTTTTGGCAAGGAAAACACACACACACACACACACACACACACACACACACACACACTCCTGGACACTAAAATATACTTCCTTCCATTCAAGTTGCAGATAATCAAAGGGATACAAGCAAGAATATTTTGCTTGGCATGTGGCCTAAAAGTTCTAAATTTATGTATTCTATTTTTGCTTCTTTCTTAGACTGGATTAGTTACTAGGCAACTGAAGTATTTAATTTCATTTGCTAATAGTTGCATGTGCATAGTGGCAGCTAAGCATGTGGGACTGTGGACGCCAGTACAAACACAGCCCCCCACCCAGCCTCTACTCAGTCCTTACTGTACCCCAACACAACCCATCCTTCCGGTCTGTGTCTGACTTGTGCTTATGAGGAACTCACATTTCTTGTGGAAATGTTTATGGTGCAGATGCTCTTGGGGTCTGTCACCCTCACTCTGAGATCCTTGTGTGCAGCATTCAGAGCCCTCTTTCAGACTTCTGGTTCAAGATGGCAGACCATGCACATATGTTTTCTTCCCTTCCTAGAGAAAGGAAATAAAATCTTTAGTAATATACTGCATAGAAAAACAAACAGGCCATTGTGAAAAGAGCAATCTGAGAGCAAAAAGAGTCCTCGGGAATCAAGAACATGTAAAAATGTGCTCAGGGTTTTGTCTTGAGGGGAGGGCAAGCTACAAATTCTGAATAAAACTGCATTTTACCATTAGTGGCAAGGATTAAATATCCTGCTTTAAGTAACAAAAGTATATCAGTAAAATATAGAAATTCTAAATCACCTTCTCCTACCAAACACACACACACACTCACTCACTCACTCACGCATGCTACTTAAGCAAACCAACCCCATTGAATACAGTGAAACAGAAAAGGTAGGTAAGGAGATGATCATAAAAAGCATGTTAAGTTAAGCAGGAAACAAAAATAAATGACAGGGATAAGCCTAAATATACCAATGGCACAATACAGAGGACTTACAGTTCTCCTATTAAAAGACAGACTTTCAGATGGAAAGGTATACAACCACCTATATGCTACACTGAAAGGGACTTAAAATGCTATGGCATGGAAAAATTGGAAATAAACATAGTGTGTTATCAATAAGAAAGAAAGAAAGGAAGGAAGGGAGGGAGGGAGGGAGGGAGGGAGGGAGGAAGGAAGGAAGGAAGGAAGGAAGGAAGGAAGGAAGGAAGGAAGGAAGGAGGGAAGGAAGGAAGAAAGGAAAAAAGCATTGACATAATTAGACCAAAGCAGAATCCCAGGACAAAAGTGAACATTGTTATGTGGGTTGGATTAAAAACACGAGGGGGCACCTGGGAAACCTGAGCTCAGCGGAGGGACTTTCCAGGCTTCTCGCTCAGAAACCCATGAATCAAGCACAGGAAAAAGAGATGGCTTGAATATACAGGCACTGAACTGGGTGGTTTTCAGATTCCAACTCAACTCTCAAATAACAGCACAACACATTGGTGGTTAAATCTCCACAGGACACCTTGAAAATTTCACCAGTACTAGGTCACAAGTAATATCTCAATAAAACTTACTTGAAAAGAGAAATATTCCAGGCCTCCTGGAGCTCTAACTCAAGAGTAATTTATGGAAGGAAATCAAAGGTGAAATTAGAGACAGTACTGTGATGAATGGCTATGGAGCACTCAGCTCAAAGTCTGCAGGAGGCATCAAAGAGACTCCAACTTTAAATGCACCCAGCAAGAAGAGAAGCCTGAATATCACTGTTAGCTCAAGAAAAAAAAAATTAAAAGTTGAAGGGATTCAATAAAGAAAAAGATGATGAAAGAGAAACAAGTTGGTTTGATCATTAGATCTTAAAGATGTCAAAATGAATAAAAAGGTGAGTCTAAAACAAACAAACAAATAAAGCCAAACAAACAGAAAACTAAAACTTAAAAAAGGTTGAACAATGCAAAATTAAGAATAAATAGGGCATTACAGACATGGATTGATTTCAAAATTATAACATGCATGTATGTGAAAGTACTAATAGTACATTTGAAAATATAAATGAGGAAATGGAAGTAAGTGGTATTCTAAGAACATACACATTACTGTAACGAACCAGTAAGGGGCAGAGAGAACTAGGAAGCAAAGCTGGAGAGTCCCACACACAGATGCTTGGGGACTTGGCACTTTCTTTGTCCTCTGGCAGTCTCTAAAGTACACTTTCGCTTCTGTGCTCTCCTGAAGAGACATGAGGTTATCAAAAGCTTTTCTGTTTGCTGCATGAAGCTGGAGGAACCTGGATACCCCAACAGCTTGAGAGGTACATTTTTGAGGAAGTTGTCCTGTATCCACATTCCACTGAACTAAGAGGCAGAGAGTAGAGGATGCCTGATAGATAAACCTGACGCAGTCAGGACAGCTACCAGGCCTGGGTGCAGCCCTAAACACTGCGGCTGTTGTTTCCTCCCTGATTTCCAGGTCACCTCTGACAAAACAGTGATTGACCCTGGATTGAAAAGAATAGGTGACATCCAAAAGAAGCCCAGGGACTGTCAGGTAACTAAAAATCACAGTGACCTGTGATACCAGCAGGATCTACCTAACTAAAAGTGAAGTCCTTCCTGCTCACACACCTTGCCTAAGTGTTCCAAAACATGGCAAACACATTTGTAAAGCCATCTTCGATGACCGTGTGGTTTTAGAAAATCAATTGCTTCCTGCGGGCCAGGATGTAAATTCCTTCTTGCACCTGGGAAATGATGTTGACAAATTACTTATTATGTTATTAATTTTCTTCTTAATCTCTGTGCTCCTGCTAGATCACTTCTCAAATGTGTTCATCTCAGGGTGGCCTGTGTCCATCCATGTGCAAAGTGGACAAGATAGTAACACCTTCACTGTGGACATTTTAAGTTTACATTAGAGCATACCTCATGGTGCTCTTCTGGGAGCCTTCACCCACAAACCCTTTGGAAGCATGTAATAACCCCGGGAGGCAGGCAGAGCTGAAGTGATATCAAGAATTAAATGACTGACGCTAATTTTATTTCCCAGTCAGTGGGTGAGTCAGAAACCAAATGAGATGCTCCTGCTTTCTATCGTAGCATGCTTCTTTTTCTGGAAAGCATGGTGGGGGAGATAGGTATCTTCCTTGTTACTCTCTACAAGATAGGAGTGGTCAGTGGCAGCACAGCTGTCCTGCTTTATGCTTTCCGACACTGGTTTCAACTTTATACTTGTTCTGCTCAAACATGAAAAGTTTAAAAATTGGTAGATATTTATTAATGATTCACTGTAGTTAATGATTTGGAGACCAACATTTTCACTGTGGAAGGGCCTAACTTAATTTCTAAAACAACACTTGGTGAAAGAAGCAACCTAGAACAAGGGGGTTCTTAACTTAAAATTATATATATATATATGTATACACACACACACACACATACACACACACCACACATACCACACACACACACACACATACACACACACCACACATACCACACACACACACACACACACACACACACACACACACATATATATATATATATCCACACCCAGAGAGATGTTAGGGTAAGTAATTCAATTCAGTAATTCACACATAAATGAGACTGGGCATACATACATGTGTGTATGAATGTATGTATGTATGCACATATGCATAGTGGCATATGCCTGTAATTCCAGCATACATGAGGCTGAGGCAGGAGGGTCACAAGTCTGAGGGCATTATCTAGTAAGACTTTATCTTGAAAGAATATATGTGTGTACATGCATTTGTGTGTGTGTGTGTGTGTGTGTGTGTGTTTTCTCTCGTTCGTTCGTTCGTTCGTTCGTTCGTTCGTTCGTTCGTTCGTTCGTTCGTTCGTTCGTGCCTGCCCATGGAGGCCGGAGGCACTGGATCCCTGGAGCTGGAGTTATAGGTAGCTGGTTGTGGGCTGCTCAGTGTAGAACCTGGGAATTGAGCTCCAGCCTACAGAAGCAGTCAGTGCTCTTGGCTGCTGAAACATCTCCAGCCCTCAGAAGGTGTTCTTGCTTTTAGAAAAAAATCTGCTCAGCACAACACAACAACCCCAGTGGGCCGGGACGCCTTTGCTGCCTTGTAAAAAGGGCAGACTTACTGAGTGAGACCAAGGGTGCATGCTCACCTACTGCCCATGGGGAGAATGTGACCAGAAGCTGCCGGACCACCTTTGGAGAGAGAACATGGCTGACAGATGTCACATGGCACAAACACAATCAAATAAAAAAACACTGGGGACAATATTGAAAACAGTGATGAGGGAAGCCTGCTCAGCAAGAGGGAACTGGGATGCAGCAGGAAGGCTGCGTGGGTGAGAGGCTGAGGAAGGGGCTGGCTCAGAGGGAAGGAGGCTTCTTTTAGCAACCATTGAGAGAACATGGTTTGTGATGAATCATACATCCAGCCTCAACCTGTGTGTTAGAAATGTACATTCCTTAATGCTTCTTAAGCCAATATTCACTATAGGAAAAGAAGCCTGGGTCCGGCCTGGACTAAAAGTTCCACATGTTTAAGACGTTTGCTTTGAGAGCAGTGGAACTACTTGACCAAGTTGTGTAACCATGTCCTTTCTCCAGCTCTGTCTACTCAGTTTAGGGCAAGTCTTGAAGGGTGCTTCTTTTCTCTTCCCTTTTTCTTCTACTTCACCTTTTCTTTTCCTTTTTGTCAGATAGGGTCTCATGTAGCTGGCCTTCAACTCACTATGTAGTCCAGGCTGGCCTTGAACTCCTGACCCTGCTCTCTCCCAGGTGCTGGGATTAGAGGTGTGTGCCTCTTTATTCAAGGGTGCTGGGGATCTAACCCCATGCATGGTAGGCAAGCACACTACCCACTGAGCTACATTTGTTGACCTTAAACTCAGATTCAAGCAATTCTCCTGCTTCAGTTTCCCCAGGAGCTGGGACCACAGTTACCACCACACCCAGCTAGAGAAGCTCCTAAAAGAGGGGTTCACCCAGGTACTTAAATCCACTGAGGCATAGAGGAGCATCCTGAGCCCTAGATAACTGCAGATTGGGAGGCTTTTCCACACCCCTCTCCATCCTGTGCCTGGTTGCAGTTACCAAAAAAACCCGAGGGGATGGCAGAGAGCGGAAGAACATGGGCAGAGGGACTGCCATCCAAGGAGGGATGTCCATCTTTCCGGGCAAAACCAGCTGTGAAGTACCTTGGGAAACCTTCACTTTTGCCTTTACCTAAGGATGTCGAGACAAGGTAGGAATGAGGCTTGGTATTCTCTGCCTTATGTAGGGCCCAGCCTCGGGGGTGTAGGGGGGGGAGTGCTAAAAGTGGCCTCCTAATGGTCTTTCTTAAAATTTCCAGACACTTTCATTTTAAGCCAGTGGAAGGGCTAAGCCATTTATCTCTGCCCCATCTGTACTGGAAAAAAATCAACCTTGGAGTTCACCTGACAAGTCCCATTTTCCCACACCAGCCTGAAGGACTGTTTCCTCTCCTGACATAGATACATATTCTCTCTCTCTCTCTCTCTCTCTCTCTCTCTCTCTCTCTCTCTCTCTCTCTCTCTCTCTCTCTGCC